TTATATGTTTGTTAACAAAGTTTCATGACTCTAAAAATGGCTAATTACCTTTTGCCATGCTAGTTTCTAAAGATCAGGTTTTTTTTCATTAAGGCATATATGTTCAAAACTTGTGTTTTTTCTGTTTAAATTTTGATGCATGTCTTCACTTGTCAGAAAAAGTACATTATGCTTGTTACACCCCATCCCGCTTTCCTCCAAATATATTGAAGTTGTACTACAGATCTCTAACTACAGTAAGCAATTCTCCAAGGATGAAGAAAGAAAATGTACACACACATAGGAATTTCTTTTTCAAAGTTAAAATTGACATTTTATAAATAATTTGCATGTTGCAAACTTGAGACTAAGAAATCACAGCAATTCAGTGATATGCATTTGGCATGAGTCAGTTTTAGTTCTTAGTGCTTTTCATTGGAAATGACATAAAAAGTAAGATTTCTTTGAATTTTTTATGCTGTGGGCTTACAAGAGACATAGATGTTTTTCTCTTGTAGATGTCTGGCAGTGCATGGCAGCAGAAGTAACGAAATGGTCACAAACCCCAGCAGTACTTCCCAGGTCACATGCACCCTTAATTTTTAAAGAATCTGGAAACAGCCTAAGCAGTTGATAACAGGTCATTTCTAAGTGATAAAGGATATTTGATATGGGTGTTGCTTTTCTTTCCACACCTAGTGTTTTTATAGTCATTCAGAGACTTTATATGGTGGTAGGCTTATATAAATTTAAATATGTAACTTAACTGGTTACTGAATTGTAACACTTTTTCCTTTTTCTGATGTTTGACATTGATTTTGAGGTTTAAAACTTTTTTTCAAGCTTCAAAAAAATTATTCTAGTTCATTTTCTGTATAAACACTTCCCATAGTCATTGACTTCAATGTAAGTACAATTGTAAATGCCAAAGGCAGCAGCTACTATTAAAAAAGAGAAAGGGGTATTATGAATTATATAACTACTGCCAGAAATGCTATGCATTTTTCTTTCAAACACCTTTTCCTTTGTATTAACTAATTTTAAGAGTTACTTAAAAATATAAGTTCCTTTGACTGTAAAAATTGGGAAATATAGACTGGTGTTTTAGAAATTTAATTTAGTCTTTCAGTGACCTAGCAGTTGATATGAAAACACAAATTTAAAAATAAATAGCATATTGGATAAACTGTACTATACTCATGAAAAAAGCCAAAAATATGAATTAAGCGGGATTAAAAAATAATTAGTTTTGAGTCCTAAACCATATTCGTTATTAAATTGAAACGATAGGTTCTTGACCCTTGGGTGGGCTTGGAATAAATATGGAACACAGTATTGTTTTTAAAACTATTTTGCTTTTATAAGCTAAGACAGATGTACAAAAAAGATGTAGTTTTTATTTTGTATTGGCAGCTTCCAAATATTTAGTGTCTATTTCCAAGAGTTGCAATTAGTAAAGCAACCATGATACTGAAATCTGCACATCCCACAAGCTAATTATATTTGCAAGGTCAGAATGAATACATATTTTCAGAAAAATAAAGGGTTATATAAATATGTGTCTTCTACTTGGCTGTTATATCACAGTTTGTTGATCTGGAATATAATGTGTACAATTCACAAATTTGTCTGATAACAGAAAGTGGTGTGTGATTGTGTTTATTTTACTAACCAGTATATTCACAGCAATCACTTCCAAATATCTCTCCAGTAAAGATGTGTTAATTACAAAACAGACAAGGTCTTCTATTATATTAAAGCTACTAACAAGAAGACAGCAGGAATCACACATGTAAATAGCATCATCAACCCCTATTTTAGTCCTCTGTTTTGATCTGTGAGTTGCGCATAGACCAAAGGTGCTATTAAAGACTGAGTGTATGAAATAGGCAGCATTATATGAACAAAATTTATTCAACAAGAAAACAGACCTTTAACATGAATTTAACAAGCCTGAGAAATTATAAACTATCATATGCTGCAGATTCATGCAGTGATAATAAACAAAAAAGGAAAGTAAGAGGTTTCCCTAAGCTAGCCAAACTGCTAATGGTTTTGTTATAAGCTGTCTACTGTTGCAGTGACCTCTGAAAAGTCTCAAGGCACTTGTACCAGAAAAAATTAAATGATCAGGCTGGTGAATAGAGATTCGGTATGGTGTGTAGGACTACAGCATGGAAGGGAATTAAAAAAGTGTAGCATCATATTCCTGAAAATATTCTTCATGCTTTAGCTTACAGGTTTTATTACTTATTAAGTAGGTAGTTCTTGTGTTGTTTTGTTTTGTTTTTTGCTAAATTCCTATTTGGATTTATAAGGCATAAACTGAACTGGTTTGATGTATATATACTTTAAAACAAACTCCTTAGAAAATTCATATAGCTCCAAAAAGTGGATTATTTGCCTTGTTCCCCCCTCTAATGCCTTAATTAATCATTGGGGGTTCTTTGTTCAGTATATCGTATCCAAGCTTTTCATTCTTACCCATGGAGTGACCACTTTGCTGTCATTCTATTGCATCATGCTGTAAATACATAAACATGGAGAAACGCCTTCAGCTTGTACACACCTCCAAGTGCTCACTGGGGCTTTTTCTTGAATCGTACAGTGGCATAATTAACACCTTCTTTACCCATTGCTCATTAGTGCACTGGACATTAATGAGTCTATTTTGATAGGTTGCTCTAAAGGAGAAACCCACTTATTCTCACAGCGCAAAAAGCAATTATAAAATTGTACAGAAATTAAAATGTAGACTTTATTGCCATATTTATGTTTTTATTGCATACTAAGTCTAATTTTGGTCTGCAGGTTGTTGAACATGTTAGTTTCCTTAGACAGTTGCTATAGTGATGGCAGCAAATTCCTTTAATCTTAGTGTAAAGTATTTATTTTCTATTGGCTATCATATTGCTACTCAGGAATTGTCCACCTAAGCATGTTGTTTCACATAGGCCATCATTTATTAGCTGAACAGTATATTAAATTGTTGAATTTTTCTCTTAATTTGTAATAGAATTTAAAATTTTTATTCACATTTGTTTTTAACTGATCATGATATCTACTTAGGTGGTATTTTAATTTCCTTTTTTATGAAGTTTCACACCTGCTTATAATATTCCAGAGAAATATTACAGATATTTTTGCATGTAAAGTAGCTCTATTCTGTTTTTGTTTGAAAGAGTTCAATATAAAAAAGTATATAGGCATTTTATATATATGGAATTTTCATGGTTTTGTAGTGTATTTTCCTACAAATCATTTTACTGAAATCTAAAAATGGAAACCAAGTATTCTAAAAACATTTGGATCAAAATGATGCTTTGCTCTTATGTATTTACCACTAATAGTAAGAGTGGCAATTCTTAATTCTGTATTTAAGTTGCACATCTATCAAAATGGTCACTTTTCTTTGGACTACATTTTAATTTTATCTCATTTTATGTGCTTTTCAATAGAAAATGTTAGACAACTGTTTTAAAGTATTATAATGTCTGATATTAGTACCTATTTTTATTGCTATATGGAAAAACATGATTAGAAAAATTTTTAAGTATACAGATGGACATATATATTTATATATAAATGTGAAAGTTAAACCTGGATTGTAGTTTTTGTATAAAAAGAAAATAGTTTCACAAACTATTAAATCATACATTTTGGGGATACTTGGTTTTATTTTGAGGCAAGAGGAACCTTTGAGGAATTTCAAACTGTTAGAAATAAGAGCAAAATTCAAAGTTGATTTTGTGGGGGGTTTTTTTTTGTTTTGTTTTTTTGTTTGTTTTTGCCTTAGAGTGGATAGAGGCCTGAGATTGACTCACTTTTCCTAGTGCTGTGGTTTCAGTTAGTACTCTGATACTCTTGACCTTTTGTGGCAGCCTTTTAGAAAGGGAGATTTTTGTTTTCTCTCTTTCTTTAAATCTTGTTCTTTAGCAGACAACATGTACAACCCACTAAATAGCAATAGCTTTTAAAATGTTGATAAATCTCAGTTGTTTAACACTATGTAAGACAAGTTTAGAAATACTATATTATCCTGCTTTAAGATTGTTTTTATGTGATAAATAAATGTATTGAGTTTATTCTCTCGGTAATTGATTTCAGTTCCCTGAAAGAGGCAAAGTTCCAGTGCTTTACTTAAAACTTTACATTTAAAAGCTTTAATGAGTTCTTTCAAATCCATGGTAATGAACAGAGAAAAGCTATGAGACAGTATGTGATTCTTGTTAAATCTCTTAATATATAAGAGCTAACAGATGACATTGTATCATGTAAGAATTTGAAGTCTTTCTATACAGAAATATTGAATACACTTAGCACAAAGAGGATTCCTATTGTTATTTCTTTACTATGAACTGCGTGCCATGTCGTTCTATACCATGTTCCTGGCTTAAAGCATAGATGACCTTGGTTTTCTTGTGTTGTGCTGCCTGTTCCTGACAGTGGCTTCACAGATGACACTTAAGGCCATCACACAAGATATAGAGTCTTTTATAGTCACAAGAAGTAAAAGGTATCTGACTAGAAGAGAATACATGGAGCAAGTGCCTTGCTGGTTGTAATTTTGTTGTCATTTCAAGTACTGTGGTGGTATAATTGATGTGACAGGGCTGGGCTTTAGATGTGGTCCCTTAGCTTGTGCTCACTTTCAGTTTTAGTTTCTCTTTGTCATTCATTTTGATTAGGTAAACGTTAGGTGACAAACATATGCACACCACTGAAGGCTGTTTAGTGTAAGTTTAGTAATGAAGCACTTCAATAATAAAGATGCAAAGTTAATATTTTTCTTTACTGCCTTATGAAAATTGCAATAATTGGTGTCACCTTACATTACAAGATTGAGGGTGGTGTGCTGATGGCACAGTCAGCAGGAGGCTCTTTTTTATTAATATTATAATTAAATGATTTCCTGGAAATAGGCCAGAAACAGATGCAAGTTGATCATGCCTTGTCCACTGTTGCTTGGCATCATCACTTGCTTTTTAAAAGAGAATTGACCTGACACCTTGTTTTTACAGGTTGTTATTGATGCCTTCAGATTGATCAATGCTAATATGATGGTCCTAGGACATGAACCAAGACAAACGACCTCAAATCTGGGTCATTTAAACAAGCCATCTATCCAGGTAATGCCCCTACTTGATAATGTGTTAAAAACTATGTTTTACATTTTAAAAGCTGTTAAAAATGGCCATTCTGAGATCTAACACTTAGCATTTTAACTTGTATATGATTACTTTTTTTGTGCTTTAAAAGATTATGGAAATATTGTTGAAAAGTTAGATTTGCTTATGTGAGTCAGTTTTTAGTATAGTCTTTAAACTTTCCTAATAGTTTGAGGACACCCTTTTGGGGAGCATAGTATAATCTTTACCTTGAAATAACCTTATGGCTTTGCATGGTTAACATTGGTAAGGATCAGTAGGAGTTCCAGGTGGAGTGCATTAGGGGTCATTCATAATTGATGTAAATTTTAAGAGGTGCCCAGAAATAATTCCCAAACAGTATTTAAATTTTTTTCTTTTTCTGTTTAATCCTCACCTTTAAATCAAGTCCTACAAAACATATTTATATATTACCTTTGATTAGCATTTATATCTTGTTTGAAGTGATGTCAGCCGTTACAGTTTTCAACACTTAATATCCTCCTGAGTGATTAATGTTTTCTTTGTATCATTCACATGCCTCATTGTTTTTATACAAGTCTTTATAATCTGCAAAAATTATTTTAAATGTGTTTTTAAATGCACCACAACCTGTGTCTATACAGTTAATTGCTTCTCTGAAGATTAATTAAAAGGACAGAAATACCATGTTTGGTTAAATAGAACACGTAGGACAGAGTCTTCATAGTAGCTATTGCTGTTCCACCTCTGAAACCTTACGCTGCGATACCATTGTCTTTGGGGAGTTGTGGCTTTAGTAGTTATCCACGGTTAAGCCTTTGTGATACTTTGATAACTGTACTTTTAGTAGTTATTTATGGTTAGGCCTTTGTTATATTTTGATACTTTGATAACTGTACTTTTAGAAGTTTACTTCTGCAGCAGTCAAAAGTAATCTGAAATCTTCCATCAGAGTGAAATGTTTTGTTTCAAAGGATTTGAGGTGTGTCACTTTGGGGGGAAAATTTTTTCATAAGTCAGGGAAAACTGCAAAGTATAATGAGTATGAAATAAGCTACCAGTGTTTTTGATTGGGTACAGACAAGCCCATGCTTGCATGTTCCAAGAGAGTATATTATTGGACCTGTTTAGCCTGTGATAATGACCTTTCTTATAAACCCCCATAGCATCATACTACTTCATTATTTTTTGCAAAAGGTTAAGTAGCATCTCACAATCCAAGATCATTGTGATTACTTCATGGTATGTTTCTGCCAGAAGTTTTCACTAATTGCAAGTCAATAGCCACCTGTTGCAGATTTCATCTTTTAAATTTAAACACCGCGTTTTAACATGAAAAATTGAGTATAATCAACATAAAAAAATCTGCTTCTTTCTATTCTACCCTGTCCACTTTGTATTTTTTGGTCCTAATTTATAGTCTGTAACTTGAGATGGACTTTATAAAGCATCATTGGTTTTTTCTTATTTTAGTTTGTTTTGCCTTCCAATTAAAATCTGTAAGTATATTTATTTCACAGTTTATATAGCGCCCATCAGAATGACATATATCTGGGTGTTTTACAGTATTAAGACAGTTTCAGTACTAAAACACTCAAATGGAATCAAGCTAAAAAGTGGCAGAAAAAAGCTACACCTTAAAACAATTAGTTTTCTAAAACAAGCTACAAAGAAAGCAACCCAGAAGAATGTGGTGATATGTTAACAGAATTTTTAACTCGGGGATCAGAAGCTCTTCAGAAAGGACATGCTTTTTATTTTGAAGGAAAACTAGTTCGTGTTGAGATGATCTTGCTTTTAAACCAACTGTCAAGTAGTGGGGATAGAAAACTGACAGCAGCCATCACTCATGCTGGTGGTCACTATGCTTTTCTAATGCTGATTTTTTTTTTTACTATTCTTATAGTAATGCTGAAAAAAATCTGATTCTATTGGACAGTAGTATTTAATAATTTGGGAAAGTTTGTTAAGTAAGAAAAAGATTATAAAGTAAGATAAACAAGTTGCAAATATATATTATAAACTGTGCCTATGTATTTATACCAAAATTTTAGTATTACTTATCTTTGGATGGAAGGATTTTTTTTTCTTATTTTTCCTTCTCCAAATATTTCTTTAACTGTCTACAATGAAACATACTGCTTTTAGAAAATGTTATTTTAAAAGCACTAACAATGTTGAATTATCTACCATAAGACAAAGCTAATAGACAAAGTTTATATGAACTTTAATGTTTTAAATAAGGGAAGCCATTAATAATCCTGGTAGAGAGGGGAAAGTATAATGCCTACACTATAGACTTATTTGTTAATGTATGAGACTGCGTTATTTTGTGAATACGGAAATATAAATAATTTAGGTGGTGATTGATTTTGAAGTTTATTTCACTGTGATGATTATTTGTGTACTTGTTTTAAATTTGTCATACCAACAAAATTATAAGCTCTGCTCTAAATATTAACTAGAGAAGCATAGAAATAACCTGAAAGTTGATCAGCAGGAAGGGTCTCCAAACTCCCCTTTGTCTAGTTCCTCCTCTAAACCATTCTTCCTCTAGAATAGATAACATCTTAGATTGGTACTGAGTTCCAACCTAGGCAGAACTTTCTTCTTGAAAGGGTGGCAGGCTTTGAGCAAAGAAATAAAGGGTCAGGATATCCAAGAGCCAAGTAAGCTAAGCTCTGTAAATAAATGAAAATATATTGTCCTACAAGTGGTGCTGTAAAAATTGGTCAGACACCAGACGCTTATTTAGCCCACAGTATATATTACAGAATAGAACTGTGCTTTAGAGCGCTCTTCTGTGAGAAACTGTTGCAGATTTCAAATAGCCAAGTAATGAATGAGCTTCTGGAACATAATCCTGTTTTAATGAAGAATTGCTTAAATTTTCCTAACTCTGCCATATCTTTGTTAATTGTAACTTAAAAAGTAAGTGTTGATGTTTTAAGAAACTTTCTGGCTACATACCTTTCTCCTTTCTCTGCCTAACATACTATGGCATTTGCTGGTATATTGTGTTTAATTTACAGTTTGACCCTTTCAAAAGTTTAGTCTCTTTCTTGATAAAACTAATCATATATTTGGCATATGCAACCACAACTTATAATTCAATTCAACTAGATTGGTTAATTTGAGAGAATTTATTATCTTCTGAGCTGAACAATAAGCTGTGCTTTTTGGGCTCATGCGGAAGGAGGACTGCACATGGCTAATTATGATTTGTGCTAAATTCACTGGGGGGTACACAGCAGATGAGGAAAAATTTGAAGACGGCTTGAGGATATCATTTGATTTAAACTTATGTTTGCTTTGTTGTTATACCTGCTAATCTTTCACACTGCCTCTGTTAGTTTTAATACTTTTATCTAAATAATGTAATTGAAAATCAAGTAGGTAGTGCCTTCAAATACCAAACTATATATTTCAGCAGTACAGTTAATCTCCAGAATATGGACCTGTCTGTGGGCACATTGGCTGACTTCTAGAACTATTGACCATAGCTGTTACTAACTGTATGGCCAATATGTAGAATTATGTAGTTAGGATATCGCACAAAGGTACTTGGATGAGGGGGCAGTTGGCATCTGAAATCTAAGCTCCACTCTCCAGCCAGTCTGTGTCTGGTTGGAGGACTGGGCACCTTTTTCTAATTCTTCTACCCACCAGATACTTTTACTAATTTGCATAAAGATGAGTATTTGAGAAAGGCCCTCATTAGTTCTACTTTTTTTTTTATCTCTACACTACAGCATTTCTATACACTGAAATTTAATTCACTGCTCCTGATGATTATTAAAATGGATAAGGATTTAATAAGTGCTCTTAAGTACTTTAATTTTATATATCAACTATTTTATTATAGCAAATGTTAAGAATATAAGTGGCTTATTACAGTATGTATTAAAATATTTTGGTATTTATGGAGTGGTTTTTGCTAGCAAACTAAGCTCTGCTTTGTTTTTATCCTGATAACTTAAAATTCAAAGACTTAATCCAAGAATTTCCCAAGGCACATTATAGCATTGTATGGCAGAAAAAACATGGATTTTGGAATCAGAAACACTTGGATTCAAATCCCAGCTTTACCTTTTACTAGCTATAAACTGGGACAAATTAAGATTATTGTCTTATTTTCCTATCTGGCAAAATACAAATGGAACCATCCTACTTACTAGATTGTTGTGACGATTAGAAGACCTATGTATAAAGCGGATACTAGGTGCTTATTAAATAGTTCCTTTCCACCCCTTCTACCTCAATACCGTAACACCTACACTCTGAAATCTAATAATTAGAGAGCATGGCGGTTGTTTTGGTTTGCTTTATCTTTCGTTTCCTGAGAGCTAACCCCAAAACCCTCTTTATTTTTATACTTGTTGAAAATATGTCCGAGGTATATAGCAGGCTGATAAGGGTCCCTCAGAATGCCATTCTGGCCCTCTGAACTTTCTTGGCTGGAGTTAGATATTTGAGCAGTTGTGAATGGATTCCAGCACATGCAGGGTTATTGTTTCTTAATAAAGCCATACCATTAATTAAATTTTTATTATGATTTGCCTGTTTGTCTTGGAGGTCAAGTGCAGTTAGGGGGTGGGAGGGATATCTGGTTAGTGAGATTGAGCATGAGCTAAATAGACCCAGTAAGACAAACTACTTTGTTCATTGGGAGACATGTGGGGACACAATTATTTGAATCTGTTAGAACTGAATTAAGAAGGGAGATCCCACTTTAATGTTGTGTGTGAAGAAATAAAAGCCTTTTTAGGCTTTAATTTTGAAATAACAAAGATTCCCCAAAGCTATCATAAAATTAGGCTTAATAACTTATGAATAATTAATGTCTAATTTGGATTATGATGAGGTCAAACCCCGTCTCTGATTGAGCAAGGCTACTGAAACTGTTGAATTTGTGCTGCTCTAGATCATGCTTTGAAGAATGTGTGACCCACACCTATAAACCTCATTCTAAACTTGTAGCTCAGAGAACTAATTTAATCTTTATTAGGATAAAATGCCTTTTTTAGAAGATAATGAAGGTATTGTCTACAGGATATGTTAAGAGTTTCAGACAGTTGTATTTATTTTAATAAAGTGAAAAATATTAATTTGTCCTTTTTCAAATCATTTGTCTATATAGGCATTAATTCATGGACTAAACAGACATTATTACTCTATTACTATTAACTATCGGAAAAATGAACTAGAACAGAAGGTAAGTTTAAATTTTTATGTTATAGAGGGGAAGAAAATGTCTTTTTCATACCATTTAAACTATGACCTGGTATACTTGAATTTTAATTGTTGACCTATTTCATGGAAGTGTTCCAAATATTTTTTTATTCCTGATGAATTGCAGCATAAAAGAAAGAAATATTTTATTGGATATATTGGAAGATATTTTACCTTATTGGTAGGTGCTAAAGTGGGAGAGAAAGTAGGAAATACAGATTTCAGTTTGGTTTTGTGATAAATTATAAAAGCCCCCAGTTCTGTGATTTTTCTGGTTAATTTGTCTTCTCCAATAAAACGGCCTTTTATAACTAAAAACTGAATAGTTTTCCACATTGGAAAGGAATACATTAGATTGTAATTGTGTACTACTTTTTAAAAAGTACCATGTTTACCTAGGGTAAATTAAAGGTGAGTCAAAAGGGAAATGCAATTTGAGGTTTTCAGATACTTAAAGATAGATTTTAATTTAATTTAATTTTTTATTCTTTAATTTTTTTAATTTAGGGAGAAGGAAGAAGGGACTGGAGTGGGGGGGTGGGGCATTGATGTAGGAGAGAAACATCGCTCAGTTGCCTCCAGTACACACCCCGACTGGGGATCGAACCCGCAACCTAGGTATGTGCCCTGACAGGGAGTAGTACTGGCAACCTTTTGGTATATAGCATGACACTCCTACCAACTGAGCCACACCAGCCAGGGCTGCTGTGGTAGATGTAGTTAATAGCTTGAAGTACATTATTATCACTTTTTTTTTTTTTTAAAGTTAAAGGGTTCTAAGATTGGTTACATTTAACATTTTCCTTCTTATGTATTTCTCTAAGATTTAACAGACCAAAATCAGAGCTCATATTAAACTTTCTCGATATTGCACACACAGAGGATTAATTCCATGAGAAAACAGTTGAACAGATCATATAATCACTGCTCCCAACATACACCCCAGTATGACAAGCCTTGGAGTCAGGCTGCATCCACAGGTTCATCAGTTATTTTTAATTTTACATAGAATAGCTACCGGCTGTGAAAAGGGGCACTACTTAGCCACAAACTGGAAAATACATTCAGATATATAAGTAGTTTATCAATCTGATATCTTACATCCAACTTTTATAAATATTCAATTAATTACATTTAAGAATTATTGATTTATTTATTTTCCCTACTACATACACTTAGCCACCATCCTTGGCTTAAAAAAACATACATACAAATATATAAATTAATTAATGTTACAGTTATGCTTCTAGTAGCTCAGTTCAGGTGCTTTCTCATTACCAAAAGCTTTGCCTTTACTCTTATCCTACCAACCTGTATACTTAACCCCCAGACTTCCCTAAGGGCCACAATGGAATCCCCATGGCAGGGATATCCTGCTCCTCTGCTTTTGAAGTGGTAGGGAAATCCAGTTCTCAACACTTCGTTACAGGTAGCTTTATAGCACATGTAGTTGCAGCTGCATTTAAATTTCCTAAGGATATATTTTCTAGACCATTATCAGTGCCAAAGTTAGGAAGAAATCAAAGAAATTGGGGTTCCTTGTGCAGGAATTTTCCAGATCCCTCCCCTCCCCCCAAACTTCTCTTCTTGCTCCCTTGGACCCTTGGAGGTACATGGAGGAATTTGGAAATTTCTTTAAAAGTCTCAGATGATTTTGACATGTGGTTTCTTCTCCAGCATAAAAAGAACTTTGTGCCATGTGTAGTTGGAAACCTCTAAATGGGTAGAGTAGTTTTTCTAACTATGTCTTCAAATCTTCATGGCTCAGGGATCTCACCTAAATATACTGGTTCAGAATCATTTTGTAGTCACCATTTTTTTTTCTTTCACATTGGATAATGGTATTAATCATTTAAAAAACTCTTATTCAATGGTAGTCTGCAACTGAAGAACAACTTTAGAGTAAGACTTTAAGAAAAACTATCTTAAGACTGTAAACTTGAAAATTTATGAACTTCCAAGAATATATACTCCGAACTAGGAGTCCAGTTTGGAAAATAATGAACTACAGTGTTTAATTTCATGATCACTCATAGGGTCTGATCCCAGTTTGCTAATGTGATTGCAAACTAGATGAATTTGTCATTTCCTTCCCAGTGTCATGACTTTCCATTCTGAACTTTTAGTTGTCAGAATTAAAAGTTTAATTTGTTTATTTTTTAAATTATAAATGGAATGTTTGAATTTGAAAGAGATTTAGAGATTATCTAATACAAGCCCTCAATTAATAGATTATATAAACTGAAACTCAGAAAGTTTGACACAGTCATTCAGGAAATGGGTATTTCACCTTCTTGGCATTTGAAAGCTGATCTATGCTGTTGAAGATCTAGTGTGCGACATAGTTTCATTCATTCAGTGTCTGTTATGATTAGATACTGTTCTAGAATCTAGATCCTGGTAATCTTGAAATAAACAGGGCAAAGTCCTTTCTCTGTTGATTTTTCTTGAGTTAGAAGGAAGTGCATTAACAAGAAAAAAATTATATGGTGAACACAATACAGTTTACAAATTATCTTCTATACTAATAAAAGGGTAATATGCTAATTAGACCAGATATCTTCCAGACAACCGTCCAGACATCCTTCTGGACAAAGCCACAGTGGTGAAGCAGAGGCAGTTAGGGGCGATGAGGCTGGCAGAGGAGAGCAGTTAGGGGGATCAGGCTGACAGGGGAGAGCGGTTAGGGGCGATCAGGCAGGCAGGCAGGCAGGTGAGCGGTTAGCCAGCGGTCCCGGATTGCAAGAGGGATCCCTGTGGGATCAGGCCTAAACCGGCAGCTGGACATCCTCCGAGGGGTCCTGGATTGGAGAGGATGCATGCCGGGCTGAGGGACACCTCACCACCACCCCCCACCCCATGCAAGAATTTCATGCACCAGGCCTCTAGTATATATATAAAAGGCTAATATGCTAAGTGTCCAACTAGTCACTATGATGCACATTGACCACCAGAGGGCAGATGCTCAATGCAGGAGTTGCCGTGACATGCACTAGCTGTTTACAGAGAAACAGCACCAGGGACCTGGGACAAAGCAACACTTGGCTTCCCCCAGTGGGTCACAGGCCCCCCCACCACCCCAGAGCGACAGCCCACCAAATCACAGCCAACGCTGCCGAGACATGGTGCAAAATGTGGCCCACAGCCCAGCCCAGCAACGGTGGCTGTGGGCACTGGGTAATGACGTCACGTAGCAACGTCCAGCTTCCTCTCCCTAGCAACGACTAGCCTCCTTGCAGTTTCTTCAGCCCAGGAACATGACTTGCTTTATAGCCAGGTGCAAACATTTCACACTTTAACTAAATGTCTGTGAAGCATTTTCCCGTGCCTCATCTCATTTGGTCCTCACAGAAGTCCTGGAGTAGATAGATGGGAGACTCAATGGAATCCTATTTTCTTTTCATTAGCCAGAAAATGGAGATTTAGAAAGCTTAGAAATTTGACCCAACTGCAAAGAAGTAAGAAATGGTGAACCTTGAAAATGACTTCACATTTTCTCACTGTGCAGAATATAGTCAAATACTGCTACAGTTAAATATTTTACCCTTTGTTTTCCCTGTGTGATCTACAATAATAATCTGCTTCGTGTTGATATTTACTGCTGTGTTGCTGACAATTACCTGAAAGAGAAGTTGGGGTGCTTCACTGGGCTGGAGAAAGTTTAGCTAAATCAGAAAGCAGGTCTAATTAAGCAAGTTTGTTCTATATCAGCCGTGGGCAAACTACGGCCTGAGGGCCAGATCTGGCCCGTTTGAAATGAATAAAACTAAAAAAAAAAAGACCATACCCTTTTATGTAATGATGTTTACTTTGAATTTATATTAGTTCACACAAACACTCCATCCATGCTTTTGTTCCGGCCCTCCAGTCCAGTTTAAGAACCCATTGTGGCCCTCGAGTCAAAAAGTTTGCCCACCCCTGTAATCTATATCTACTAGTATAAAAGGCTAAGTTGACTCTTGCATGTGTGATACATATAAAGCTCTCACTGGTGCCAATCGCACGAGTGTGTTTCGATCTCATTGTCAATCGTGTATTTGGTTGACACTTCTATTTATAGAGAAAGGGCGAATGGTGATATTAAAATATTCTAATTAATTTCCTTTTAATGTGCACGAATTCGTGCACCGGGCCATTAGTGTATTATAAAATTGTACTTGAAACCTATATAATTGACCAATGTAACCCCAATAAATTCAACTAAAATGAATATAGAAAAAAATGAAAGAAAAAATTTCAGATGTTGATGGTGTTATAAAAGTAATAAAGCAGGTTAAAGCAAGAAAGTTGTTTAAGATAGGGTGGGTGGGTTTTTTTATATTGAGTTGTTAGTGAAGGCACCTATCTCTAAGAAATTGAGGAAGATAAGGAAAATAGTCTTTGAGGCAGAAAAACAGCAAATACAAAGGCCATGGGGCTGGAGTATTCCTTGGGTTATATAAATTTAGTAGAATTCTTATTAGAGTTTATTTAAGTTAAAATTAAATTCATTAATTCCAAACATTTTTGTGAAATTGTTCTCAAGATAAATGAAGGACATATTCTCCATATAAGAAAATTATTACTTTTTCTTTATGTTTTTTAGATGTTACTAAATTTGCATAAGAAGAGTTGGATGGAAGGTTTGACACTTCAAGACTACAGTGAACACTGTAAACATAATGAATCAGTGGTAAAAGAGATGTTGGAATTAGCCAAGAATTACAATAAGGTAAAAGTTACTGCCAACATTTATTTCTTATAGTCTTTGGAATATGTATGTTTAGATGCCAAGCATTGTATAAATATAATTAGTTAAAATAGAGTGGCTTCATTTGTAGATCAGATAGTAAATATTTTAAGCTTTGCAGCCATCGGATCTTTCACAACTACTAGTCCTTTGCTCTTGTAGCGTAAGAGTTCGTAAAGGAAGAAGTGAGGCTGTGTTCTAGTAAAACTTTACATACTAAACCAGGCAGCTGGCTAGATTTGGCCCATGGGCTATAGTTTGCCATTGCTTCTGTAAACTTGTTAAAATAATTTTACATTTGAAGTCTTTTAATTTTCAGAGGACTTTTTGCTGGAAGGAAAGGGCAACAATGAGATGTTATATTTTAATACTTGCCATATAAAATTTATTTTATGAACGTTTTTATATTGTGTATTAATATATGTGGCCATGATAATGTTTTTGTTTTATGTTCTGTTATAATTTTGAAATTAAGAAAATACTTGAGCTATGACTAAAATGTATCTTCTGCATTGTATTAGTTTCCTAGTGCTGTCCTAATAAACTACTATCTACTGGTGTCTTAAAACAAATTTATTCCCTCACAGTTCTGGAGGCTAGAAGTACAAAATCAAGGTCTTGGCTGGGCCATCCTCCCTCTGAATTCTATAGGGGAGGATCCTGCTTTCTTTTTCAGCTTCTGTTAGTCCCAGTCTTTGGCTTGGGGCAGCATAACTTTAACCTCTATCTTGGGTTAGGATTTCAGCATATCTTTTGGGGGATGTGATTCAATCTATAACATGTATTTTCAGCTTTTTTACCAAAGCCACATAAAGAATAGGTTTTACATTTTGATACATTTTGATCTAGTACAATGCAAATGTGTGTGTGTGTGTGTGTATTGCATTTATATAATTGCAAAAAAGTTTTATGAAACAATATTTACCCTTATGTGATACATTCTATTTTCTTTTTCATTTGACTCAATTTCATTCTATTTCAATTATACACATAAGTATTACACACAAATACATATAGCTTACAACCCATTAATGGGTTGAAAATCTAGAATTTGTAAAATATATACACACCCACATATTTACAATGTTATGTTTATAAATATTTATTGCATATCTCCTATATAAGTTGCAGTGGAAAACAATTTCCTTCATTTATAGGAAAACAGGGGCAGCAAGAAAAGCTGATAACCAGAATACCAGGTCAAAATTGGTGTATTCCGTAACACCTTAGTATTCAAGTTGTCCACAGACCAGCTGCATCAGTATCACCTGGGCTCTTCTTAGAAAGACAGACTCTCAGAGCTACTGAATCACAATCTACATTTTAACAAGATTTCTAGGAGATTTGTAGACTCTCAGGCTGTAAGTTAGAGAGCACTGCCATAGAGAAGTCCATGTAAAGCACGGCAGAAGGTCAGAGGCTTGTGCTTTTAGCTATGGACAACCCAGGAGGCTGTCTTCGATGATAACCACATTTGAACTAGATGTTAAAGCATAAATAAGATTTAGACATACAGAGAAATGTTACCCTAGGCAAAATGAACATCACAGGCGAAGATTAGGAGAGACAGAAAAGGCAAGGACATGTTTTAGAACCTGTTTGGCTAGAGTACATAATGCATGAGCGTGATAATGCAGACTAAAGTGTTTTTAAAGTTATTGAAGTCAAGTAGCAGGGTATCAGGAAACAATATATATATAATTTGATTTCAGAGAGGAAGGGTGAGGGGGAGAGAGAGAGAGATAAAAACATCAATGATGAGAGAATCATTGATCGGCTGCCTCCTGTATGTCCCACACTGGGGATCCAGCCCACAAACCTGGGCATGTGCCCTGACTGGGAATCAAACCATGATCTCCTGGTTCATAGGTCAACACCCAACCACCGAGCCACTCCAGCTGGGCAGAATAAAGTTATTTTTGATCATGGGCATGATATATCCAGAACCTGGCTTTAGAAACATAAGAACCAGACTTCAGAAGCACAATTTGAAAATGGATTAGAAAAAGGAGTGCTGTAAATGGATATTCTATTTAGGAGGAGCTTGCTGTTACCCAGACAAAAGGGAGTGAGTATCTGAATTATTGCAGTGGCAGTGGGAATGAAGGCTTCAGTCAACAAATAAAACATGGCACCCATTGGGTAGATGAAATGAAAGGAGGAGGAGGAATCGAAGTTGAATTCAAGGTTTCCCGCCTAGATGACTAGAAGTGTGATGGTACTAGTAACAGTTCCAATTTGGATAGAAGTGGAAGGATTGTGAAAGGAGATAGTTGCATTTTAAATAAGCAGAAATGTAGGACTACAAATTAATAGTAGGGGCTAGCGCTTATGATTTGGAGACAGTTAAATTTGATACTGGTTATCACACCAAAAAGTAAATTAATAAACACATCTTATCAAACTAAATATTAACCAGGTGACGGTATATAAAATTTGCCAAGTGTAGCAATGTCTTTTGAGAGATTTGAGCTTTGAAAAAAAGTTGCTGGGCCCCATACAAATTAAATTTCAGCAGACTTAGGTTTGGCTTTGTAGAGCATGCCCTGATATATATGTAGTGTTCAAGCTGGAAATCCCCTATGGTTCTAGATTACAAGGAAAATATTTTTATCTTTCTAGTATATATTTTTATGCTGTGAAGAGTAAAGAGAATCATTTATCATATTTGAAACAGTTAACCTATTATAAATTAAAAAGTTATGACAAGTTATTATTCAGCAGACTGTAGGAATGGTTTTCATTTCTCTGTAACATTACAAGTTTAAGTAAATTCATATTGGTACCACTGCCAGGAAATAACCTATTTATGGTTACTGCTGCCCATCCGCAGAAGTTTTTTTTTTTGCTATTTTACAGTTTTTAAAAATCTCTGTAGTACTCAAAAACTTGTAAGGTTTAGTTTTAAAATGAAAACAATGTGTAAGCTGTGATATGAAGCCATCCAAATTTGGAAATGTAATTCCCTCTGTGATTGAAAGAGAATGTGGTGGAGTTTTTAGTAACACTTAAAATATAAAAAGAAAAGCCCATGCTACCAATTTTTCTTAGTATTCTTTTTAATTGATTGGTATTTTAAATTAAGGTAATTATTGTTAGGTGCCAGTTAACTCCTAAAGTAAACAGAGGTTAGAAAATAATTAAATTCCTTTGTTCCAACTTTTCAGTTTTAAGTCTGAATTCCACACTCAGATTCTGCTTGATTATTAGTCATTGATTTCTCTAATTATTGAACTTTAACACCCACCACTCTTAGTTCAAATTTCCTAATTCATGCCAGGTGCATCAATTTTTTAAGATGTTGATATTTTATTGAATACTTATCAATGAATGATAAAAGAGCATTTTAAGGATAGCATAGGCACATAAAAATTTACCAACTTTTCAAACATGTAGCCCTGTAAATTCTGAATTCTGACAGTTTGCTTTTCAGATAGAAAATTGCCTACTTAAAACCTTAAATAAACTTCAGATATATCTTTATGTGTTTACATATTAAATATGTAATAATATAATTATATTTTGTTTACTACAGTAGCTGTGTTAAATATGAAAATGTTTGTGCTAGAGCAGTAAGATTAGAAAAACAAAATAGATATAAGTATTGGGAAAATCAGGTCAGATTATCATGATTTAAGTATGACAGGGTATGTTTGCAAGCAGACATAGAAATCCAACATACTAAATTAAAGTACTGTTAGAATTCACTGGCTGGGTAGCTCACTTGGTTAGAGCATCGTACCAAGGTGGGATCAATCTCCAGTCAGGGCACATACAAGAATGAACCAATGAATACATAAATAAGTGAAACACCAAATTGATGTGTGTTTTTTTTTCTCTCTCTCTCTCTTTTCCGTTCTTTCTCAAATCAATCAGTTTTTTTAAAAAAATATAATTATTGCCCTAGCTGGCTTGGCTCAGTGGATAGAGCGTCGGCCTGCGGACTGAAGGGTCGCGGGTTCGATTCCGGTGAAGGGCATATGCCTGGGTTGTGGGCTCAATCCCCAGCGCGGGGTGTGCAGGAGGCAGCTGATCAATGATTCTCTCTCATCATTGATGTTTCTATTTCTCTCTCCCTCTCTCTTCCTCTCTGAAATCAATAAAAATCTATTTAAAAAAAATTTTTTTAAGTAAAAAAATATATCCTATATAATAAAAGCCTAATATGCAAATTGTCCCCTTGACCGTGAGTTCAACCAGGAGTAGGGGGCAGCTGGAGGCCCCCGCCAGCGGTGGTGGCAGGCAGCTGGGGGAAGGGAGACCCTAGCCGGGAGCCGGCAGCCACTAGGGACCCTGCCTGTGCATGAATTTCGTGCACTGGGCCTCTAGTAATTATTATAATCTAGAATTATGTAGCTGCTAACCATGCAAATGCTGGTATTCAAAAATTGCATATTATCTAAAGAATTCTTATAAAATAGTTATTAAAAACAATAATAAATTGGACAAAAGAGCTAGGAAACTGAAGACAATGGCATATGAGCATGAAAAAAAAGTTCAACCTTATTAAGTAATCAAAATTAAAATTGTACATAGAAAATTTCCTTTCAAATTAAATAATTTTTTGGGGAAAATGCACCATTAGTGGGGAAAGTAATGTGATATAACATTTTTGGAGGCCACCTTCCAATTTTACCTTTCAATTTTAAATAGATATAACTAGAGGCCTGGTGCACAAATTCGTGCACAGGTGAGGTCCAGCCGGCCGGAGGGGGCAGCAGGGGCATGGGAGGTTGGCTGGCTGGCTCCACCCCCTGGTTGAACTCTGATAGAGGGGACAATTTGCATATTACCCTTTTATTATATAGGATATATTCCTTTAAACCAGCATGTTCTCTTTTGGTTCTCTTTTAAGGGTTAATTATGAAGAATAAAAACTACAAATACCAACTAAAAGAAATATTTGCAAACTGCTGTTATATGTGAAAAATTAACCTGTATAACAATAATAAAAATCCCTACTATGTTACCTTCCCTCCCTTTTTCAAAGACACCTATCTCACATAGATCTCAACAAATTATGGTAAGTGTCACCTCTTAGGTGCAAGGAAGGGGAATGATACACTTTATGTAAATCCTGAATTGTTTTCAGTTTTTGCACTAAGCAAGTGATATTTATACCTAAGATTGTGTTACCTCAAAGTAACAATAGCTTAAACAAAATAGAAATGTATGTCTCTTGCAATTCAAGACCAGTATGAAAGTTTGAAGTCATCACAGACCTAGAACCCTTCTGTCTTTTGCTCCACTTCCCTTATGTTGGCTTCCATCCTTTAAATCGCCTCATGATTTCATGGTGATTGCTGCAGCTTTAGCAATCCCATCTGAGTTCTTGGCAACAGGGGGAAAAACGGAAGGGCAAAGAGGGATACCTCCCAGCTAAATCACTTCCCTTTCAGAATCCCTTCTGCAGGTCTTACCCAGCACTTCTGATTATATCTCAGTGGCAGAAAATTGAACACCCCTTGTTTTGACGAAAGCTTTATAATGTAGTCTTCACCTGGGAGCATTTATGCCTTTATAAAATCAGGGTTGCATTACAAAAGAAGAAAGGGAAGATGTATATTGAGTAGGCAACTAGTAAGCTCTGCCATAGTAATTTTTTTCAACAAGCTGGACTCTAACCTCTCTCTCTCTCTCTCTCTCTCTCTCTCTCTCTCTCTCTCTCTCTCTCTCACACACACACACACACACACACACACACACCTTCATTTTATATCCCTATTTCATGTGATTACATTTTAAAATTGTGACTTTAGAAAGCATGTACTTTAAATGGGATTATGACATGTTAGAGAGTAAACAAACTTAACATGTCAAAGGGGAAAAAAGAAGCCCAGGGAATAGTTATATGAATTGGAATAACAGACATGGTGTCATAAAAGCAGAGGTTTAAAAGAGTAGAAGAGAAAACACGTGTTGGAATAGCTCTAAGGTGTTCAGAAAATTCAAGAAAACTGAGTCCATGGAACTCACTTGGTGGAGATTCTTAAAAGACTGTTAATGAGGTACCAAAGATATAATCCATATTTGTTTAAGGATAAATAAATGGTAGAATTTGAGGTACAGGTTTTCCACTTGAGAAATGTGACCATAACCAGAAAAAAAGAGGACAAGGTTAATGAGTTTTGTAAAAGCCTCTTTGAGATCAGGGGTACGTCTGAGGGGTTTGTGATAACATAACAGACCAAATTCCAGGAATTTCTTAGAACTGTGCAGACCGTGCATGATGGGATAGCCATCTGGGGGTCTTTGTTGATAAACTGTTAAAAACGTTTCTAGTGTGAATAGCCACAAACATTTTCAGTGCTTTTTTGTTGGTTGAGTAAACCGAAGAGCACAAATGCAAAAGCAAAATTTGATGCCAAATCACAGAAGTTGCCATAAACACAGAAGTTCCCCTAGTGAGGACACTGCCTGTGCCTGAATTTCATTTGTTTCTGCTGCTACCATTTCTTAATTTTTCCTGGTGACTTGCCAGATTAGAATTATGAATGAAGGCGAACTGGCTTTGCCCAAATGGTAGATGGAATGTAGGTAACTTAGGTAGATGGAGAAAATATTTTCGGGGGTTGATGTGGTGATCTGGTCTTAGAGTGTAAGAGATGTGCTTAATCTTTTGTCATGGAGGTTTGCAACCTTAGTATATGCCTAAATCTACAGCTGCTCCTCATTTTCCAGATGGCATCTATGGCTGGGAGTACTTTTTACCATCTGCACTTCTCAAAGAGTTTGTGAACTCTCTATTTTAATTATTGGAAATGGAAAAAACTAATTGGTAAAGTTGTTACATGTTGTAGAAGATTTTTAAAATTGAGTTTTTGCATTCTACTTAAGTTTTCATATAGGGTCAATACTTTAAATGACATTTGACTTTCATCTTTACATATCTGCCATGTTCAATATTTGCAATACCCCAAAATACTCCATAATAACTATTTTGTACAGGGATTGGTATTTTGAGCCAAGTTCCAAAACTCTTGCCTCCTTCCAATACTGTAAAGTACTGTTGTTGGCAGAGCATAGAGCAGCTAACATTGAATGGATATAGAGTACAAACTTATGTGACTTGTTCCATTCATCTAATATGTTTTCAAGTCAGTCGGTAAGGTATAGTGTCCTAATTGTAAAAGTAAATGAGGACAAACTTTATGTGTTGCAGTGTATTCATATATGAAAAACATTAAGATAGAGAGAAGCAATTTCCTAGTTAGGAAATAATTTTTTAAATAGCCGAGAATAATATGAATGGCATCTGACTCTGAAAATGAGCATATTCTTTATCTAGGGAATTGTGGATTTGCAGTGTTAACTTTATTTTTCCTTTTTGCAGTTTTATCAGTCATAAGTGTATTTCCTAATGATGTGTTGTAAATAAGTATACTGTAATAAGCAGTGAATACAATACTTATTTGCCATCTTTTCTTTTAGGCAGGTTCTACCAGGGAAATTCTCTAGATAGTTTGTCCATTTATAAAATTAGACACTTGCCATCTTTGCTCATTTTCAAGTTCTCTGTTTACAAAACTATTAAGAAGGTGTGAAATGCAGCCAAACTTCCCAGTTTATGGGAAATGTCTGATGATTGCATTTCCTACATGTTCATTGTTCACACATGAAGAAATTTGGCAGCTGCAAGATTATTAAGTTAGAGTATCCAAATCTAAACCTCACTGGGATTTTTTGGTTTCCTGCTTTCTGCCACAACCATCTCATCTGCTTTTGTAACCATATTTGTAGTACGTGCTATAGTGTTCTTTCTAAAGGTGGGTGATCCTTAAATTTGCTTTGTTTTCCATTTATCAGATACTATGAATAAATCATAGACCAGGAGTTTATCCGATGTACTTCTTATCCTCCAGTTTAGCCATCCCTCAAAAAATTCCAGAACAGTTTCCAAATAGTTAACTGGTAGTCCAGTTTGATATTTTCAGTGCCTTTTACATATTTCCTAAAATCTGTTGTTAAAATGATGGTGATAATAGTTTTCATTGCCCTGAAGCATATTCTTAAGATTAGTAAAATTGCATTTTTGTTCAGTAAATTTCTTTAATAAAAGATTCTAGAATGAAAATTATGATAGCCATTATCTTTGGTGATTATTCTGCAATGGGAAAACTAAACTTAGGATTTGAAACTCTGTCCTTTGTGTTTCATTCACAGGCTGTAGAAGAAGAAGATAAGATGACACCTGAACAGCTGGCAATAAAGAATGTTGGCAAGCAGGTGAGGTGTACTGTAATAGGTTATACAGTCGCATAATAACATACTCTTGTAAAGTTAAAACTATTTTAGGGCCTGTTTCCCCCCCCCCTACCCCCCCACCCCCCCGTCTGTTCAATCTACATTTCTCTTCTGTCATGTAAATGTGACACTAATTTTAAAATCATTGAATTATTCAATGTCATATTCTCTCTGCCACCTAAAGATAAGTAAATCACAAATATACCTGTGAGATCTTAGTGAAAATACCTTACTAGAAATAAATTAGGAAACTTGTGCCCTGAGTTAAATTTTTAAGTATTATTTTTACTTGAAATAATAACATTGAAGATAATAGAATGGTAAATTAATTTCATATGTAACAGTTTTTAATGATATAGTTTAGCAATATGTAGGTACTGTTCCTGAGAAAGCTCAGAGCCCTATTGGATTATACTGCATGATGAGAAAGGGTTTTAATTTTAAGTATTTGCTCTTTCACTTTTCTAAGATGAAATATATATTTTAGTTCCTCCTTCCTAAGGATTGGGGAGAGCACACCAACCAATTAAAAGAATCTACAGATTAATTAGACTGTTTTTTAAAGAATGTTGATTACATTTTTTCATTTCATGGAACATGGTTATCATATTGCTGATGTTGGCAGAATCTTGATATTTCAGATGCAAGACACTAAGCTGTCTTTGCTTGCAGCCATCCTACCATATGCTCTGATCCCATCACATCTCACAAGCTATGTAGGTTTGGGCCAGGACCATTCTTGGATGGGAAATCTCTAAGAATCACCCAGCTGCCACAAGAAGTAATGTAGATAACTGCGGGAAGTGTGTTACCAATTCACTACAAAACCAGTTACTCCAATAGAGCAGTAGGGGCAAAGGTCTGACTTAAAAATATCACAGTGATGAAATTAAATCCCACTACATTCTGAATATTATAATTTAAAAACAACAAGAACCTTCCAAAACAAAAATGAAATATAGTTCATCTTACTCTTTCATCCTATGGGATATGGTCATCCCTGTTGTCTTTTCCCACTACTTATTTTCATCTAATATATATTAAATCACCAACTTGGAGTGTGCACTGTATAAAATTCAGTAACTGGTTTTTTGTGTTTTTTTTTAAATTACTCTGAAGCTGTAGTTTTTTGATGTGTAGATTTTATATAATAATTAGCAATAAATAAAAGGACTACATTAAATATATAATTGGCAAAGTGTAATAATCATCAGAATCATTTTTTAAAACAGTACTTCACTGGTTTGGCCTATTGCACAGCAAAAGCAAAACTGTCTGTATTGGAATTAGACCAATAATCATCTTCTCCTGCCAGTCTTTTTTTAGTCTCTTTCACCTAACACGCTCTAGGTCTTATTTCTGAAGTAAAGAAAATTTAATATTGTAGCCTAGTTACTTGAAATTACTTGTAGCATGTTGTATCTCTGGATTGTTTAAAGAAATCAAATGCATTGAAATTGTAGTTTAGAAGAGAACAGCCAAGAAATAATTCCAGTGGTGAACATTTGTTTAAAGTTAGGAGTCTTGGGTATTTTAGCAATACTCAAAAGAAAATAATGCTTTAATTGGAATATTTTTATTGTGTGCAATATTCTTTATTTCAAAGCTTTCATATTTAGCTGAAATACTTCATTCAGCTCAGCATTAAACATAAATATAAATTAAGATTTTAATTTATCTTCCTTTACTAAAATGCAATTTTTAGGCTGTTTTTAAAAATATATATTTTTACTGATTTTTAGAGAGGAAGGGAGAGAGGAACATCGATATGAGAGTGAAACATTGATTGGCTGCCTCCTGCATGGCCCCCATCAGGGATCGATCCCACAACCCGGGCGTGTGTCCTGACAGGGAATTGATCTGGCAATCCTTTGGTGCATGGGATGATGGAGCCATACTGGGCAGGGCTACTACAATGCAATTTTAAGCTTTTTTTTTTTAACTCAGACATTTCAAATATAGATTTGATCAGGGTTAAGTTAAAGGATTGTACCTATACACTTTCCTCTGATACTTTTTTTTTCCAAAACAGCTTCGTGAAAGATTTATTCTTGACATTTTATAATTGATCCAAATTGTATTTAAAATTTTAAATTACTAACAGTGACTTTTGACCCAAGAATATTTCCTGAATCACTTAAAGCACTGTTCCCTAAATATTAAAATTATACAAGAATTAAACTTATATTTTAGAGGACATGAGAATTCACATTGAACTCCTAAATTTGATATGTCTGCTTTGAGTAAAGTACCACTCAGACATTCAGTATATGTGAATGGCAGAAAATATACACACATACTCAGATTTGATACACACACATATAAATGCTTATATTTTTTAATTGAATATTGCAGGCTGTATAGAATTTTGTTACTCTTTATAATCTTTGGTACAGAGTTATAGCATTGAGTGTGTAAGTCAGTCTTTCATTGTGTAATCTGTTATTTTATCACTTAAATTTTTAACAGATATAGAAATCCTAAAAAGGTAATAGTGGTTCTCAACCTTCCTAATGCCACGACCCTTTAATACAGTTCCTCATGTTGTGGTGACCCCCAATTTCATTGTTACAAATTGAACATAATTAAAGCATAGTGATTAATCACAAAAGCAATATGTAATTATATATGTGTTTTCCAATGGTCTTAGGCGACCCCTGTGAAAGGGTCGTTCGACCCCCAAAGGGGTCGCGACCCACAGGTTGAGAACCGCTGGGTAATAGTATATTAGGAATATTAAATTGTAAAATATATATCAATTTAGTTTGGCTTTCTTGACTGAATTTCATTAGCTACTGAAAAAAATCTAATTTGTCTACAGTAATATGGTTCTTTTTTCTTTCTTTCCTTATTTTTTTTTCTTTCAGGACCCCAAACGTCATTTGGAGGAACATGTGGATGTACTTATGACTTCAAATATTGTCCAGTGTTTAGCAGCTATGTTGGATACTGTCGTATTTAAATAAAGCAGTGCAGAAAGCTTTTAGTGATACTTTCAGTGTACATTACTCTATTGTTCCTAATACTCCAAATCAAGGGACCTCTGAAGGTGTATTTGGTTAAATGTAAGACATCTGGCATCATTTGCAGCACTGTAACACCTTCAGTCTCAGTTGTGCAATTACTTCTGTTTCTTTAGTCAGGGTCTTTGCAGATTCCAAAGTTATATAAGAATACATCAAAGTGGACAAATTTTGTTAAGATCTCATTTAATATTTGAAGAAATCAGTAACACAAATATATTTTGATTGTTGCTTACAAAATAAAGTACATTTACAATCTATGTCTCCTGAGGTCTTTTTGGCACTGGGTGGAATTGACAGAATAACATTTGACAGTGCTTTAGAAATTTCATACTAAGATATGCTTCCCTGTGCATTTTAAGATTTTATAACACATAAAACATCAATGTGATAACAAAACATCTGAGTGGCTACCTCATTAGTGGGTAATGCAGAAAAATGCTGACATCTTTCATTTAAAGGATTTGTCACAAGTTAATTTTGTATAAACAATATATCTTGTTAACATACAGTCAGGATCTCAGAAGAGTGCAATTGAAGAAGGGGCAATTTTGATGTAAACTATCATTTTTTTTTTTTAAAGAGTACAATCCAACAATCATGTTGAGATTGTGTGGGAATTGCCTGCTGCAAATTCCACTGGACATAGAAAGTGTACTGTATAATGTCTTCAGAAATGAGAAAAGTAGCCCAGCCAGTGCGGCCCAGTGGTTAAGCATCACCCTATGAACCAGTAGGTCACATTTCGATTCCCCATCAGGGCACATGCCTGGGTTGCGGGTTTGATCCCCAGTGTAGGGCATGCAGGAGGCAGCTGATCAGTGATTCTCTCTCATCATTGATGTTTCTATCTCTCCCTTTCCCTTCCTCTGAAATCAATAAAAATATTTAAAAAAGAGAAAACTAGCCATAATGTGAATTTAATATAATGAGCACATAAGCAATTTTGTTACTGTTATCTCTCCTCTTTCTGTAACTTAGAAGTACTCAGTTTTCTGTTAAAGACAAAAATTTGACTAATGGCAGTTTTTGTAGATGACCCTATCCCACAACCTGCTTCTAACCTGATGATGTTCATAAGTTCAGCCCCAAATACTCATGGTACAGCACCATACTGGGTATCCCAAAGGGTGTTGGCAAAACATATGGAGACAAAGATTTAAGTCTTATTTGTACCTTCATGAAAATATGGCAAAAATGTTTAAAGGAGGTTTTACTTGGGCACTTAGGAGTTAGACTTAGCCTCTACTAGGGGTGGCATGAATGAAGAGGTAGGTAGAATTCTTGTCCTGTTTGAACAATTCCAGGCTCTTACTGCTTGCCTAATGAAAAGTTAGCAGAAACTAAAAGTGGAAATGTCTTAAATTTCGATTATATTTTGCAGTCTCTTTGGTGGAATAAGAGATAATTCTGAACATTTCTTGCTTTTCCTGTAGTTTCTTCTTTTAAATATGATGGTAGTATATTTTATGTAGGACATGTAATATGTATTAATTTGTTGGCATACAACTAATCATTTGTAATTAAAATATAAATGGAAGTTTTCCTTTTGCCTAATGTAAACTTGTGTGTGACCTATTTTTTTGGATACGTGATTTTTTCCTTTACATAAATAAGGTTCTATGACTTATTTCACAATACTGTTCATTAGAGCTAGTCAGATTTTTTTTTTTGTACAGTATGCCCTCAGAAGAAGGCCTCAGTAATGCAATGGCTATTCTCAACGTTCTGTTTGGAAATTTTTTTTTTTTTTCCACTTAAGTCCCCTGAAAATACCTCCTGAGTGAGTGTGGTGACTGAGAAAGCTTACACGAGTCTCGTCTTTTTCCCTCTTATGTGACCACCTCATCTTCCTGGGCTCTCCACAGCCACATACCACTTTCTCTCACTTGGTTCATGTTGGAGACATTCCCAATTTCAAAACAACATCAGAATCCCTTCCCTATCCCAAACCTACATTTTCTTTGTAGATTAGGATGCCCGAAAAAGAAGCTCATTGAATACACCTTTGTCTCTGAATGTATTGCTATTTTAGCAGCATTCTGATGGCACAGGCCCTTAGGCATTGAAATGACTTATTGAATCACAAGTTCAACGAGCCACTTTTCAGGTGTGCGTGTGCTTGTGTGACCTTTACACGTGTACTAAACATTAACGTAGCACCAGAACAAAAAGTCTTGCTTTACTCTTAGACTAGTATGAGGGGCATTGAAAGTTCCAGCCTCACTGTTCAGTGTGATCTGCCTGGAACAGGAACACCTGGGCCCTCTGGAAGCTGCTTATATATACAGAATCCAGGCCCCACTCCAGACCTGAATCTTGGCATGGTTCATATGCAATTTAAAGTTTGCACTGCTCTGCATAAATATGGCTCAAAAGCAGGTGTGCTGATCCTGGGGCAAGCCTTAGTTTTCCTTCTTGAGTGTATATAAATTCAAGGCATAGCCTGTATGTGAGGAATCACTGAATTTCGTACTGATAAAGTGAGTGTACATTATCTCCTAATTCTGAGGGACGTGCACTTTAACCTTTTCAATACTTTAACCTTTCCTTTTAGCATTCTTCATTTAAAAAATACACACAAAACAATTTAAGGTGCTAGGAATGGCAGCCTCAAGAAGGAGCCCAGGTAGAAGAATCTCACCTTTTTGCTACGCATTGAAGGCTCTGTGTCCTGCTGAGGAAGGAGGGGGTAACGAAGCAATGCAGAGGGCAGACACTCAGGGACAAAGAGTTTCATGGTCAAAGAAAAGGGAATACAAGAGGAGCTAAAATAGAACCAACGCCTCTCAGAAACGGTGGTGGAAGGTAATGAGCAGAAAAAAGTGTCAAATAGTCTCATAGCCACTGACTCCAATCCGCAGCCCAACGCCTGCATAGCCAAGGCCCTGCTCGTTTATTAAGCTTGCAGGCAAGGAGCTGAGATATGCTTCTGAATGGAAAATTGGGTCTGGCTGTATTTTCTCCCAGAAAACTGTCTCGGCTTGAGTCTAGGACATCTGGTCCATCAACTTGTCCTGCCCAGGGCCTTGCTCGCGGCGCCCTGCTGGAGCCGCAGCTGGTGCCCTCTGCGGCGAAGGCGGCCAGCCCGCCTCGGCGCGAAGTCTGAGTTCAGCACAGCCCGATCTGAAAATGCGCCCGCCTAGGTTAACCCCTCTCGCCCCTGCCCAGGACCCAGCTATGTCCCCAGCACAGCCGTCCCTCCGGGAGCTGCTGGGGAAGAGAGACGCGCTCTGCGCAGGCCACACCGGGCGGAGGTACCCAACCGTTCCTTAGGCGCGGGAAAGAGTGTGTGCCCCGGGCTCTGCGCCTTATGCCACCCGCTCGCGCTCCCTCAGTTTACCCGGAGGCTCCCTCTCAGGATCGCCAGGGTCCTGGGAGCCTCCTCTCGGGCCGCTCGGGGACCCCACACTATGAGCCCCAGTCCCAGCAGCGCCCCGCGCGGAGCCGCCGCCTGCCGGCCAGCTCGCAGGGCGGAGTGAGCTCGGGTGCGAGGCTGCTCCATACTCGCGCGGCTCCGCGTCCCGGGGGAAGCGGCAGGAGGGCAGGTCCGCGGGTGCCGTGCCAGGGGGAGCCGATTTGGGCGCATAAAGCGTCTGCTGCTCTTGGCCCTCCGGTCCGGCGCGGTCCGGGCAGGGGCTGGCTCCTCTGCAGAGCGAGTACTAGATTTCTTCTACACCTGGGGTTGCGTTGGGCCTCGTGCTAGATATTTATGCCAATATCCTTTAAATTGCTTCTTTTCTCAATTTCTCCTCCGATTCTTCGCATTTTAAAATTATTGGCATGGGTTCTTTTCCTCTCCAGATTATATAAACACTGCGCGCACGCGCGCGTGCACATACACCACACACACACACACACACACACACACACACACACACGAGTCTTCAGCAGCGATCGCTGTGTTGACACCACTTCCACTCTGTCTCCACAGATCAGTGCTTCTAACGAACCCATTTGCAGGAGGACGCGGCCCTTTCCTTTTCTGGTGAGGCTTTTGAACCTGTCGCCGAGGCAGTACCTTGGAGAGAATGTCGTGCAGTGAGACGCGAGGGATGCGGGGCGCTTGCCCCCAGTTAGATGCTCTTCAGATAACATGCAACCAAGCTCGCTGATAAAATATTTAGTGAAGACCTCTTAAACGTCACTGCGAGTACATTAAGGCACTTCAATCCGACAGCTTATGATTATTTCAAAACTTAAAAAGATCATAGGTTCTCACGGTTCTGTGCTCACCCAAGAAACCGAACCTTCCGGAGGTCGGTGGATGGGTGAGTTGCTGCTTTTCGCCCCCACTGCTCCCTCTTCCCGCCCACTTTCATCGCTGTGACTCTCAGCAGCAGAGATTTATTTACTTAGGAATTTAAAAGGTGTATGTTGGGGTGGGGGTCGCCGAGGACACACAGGACCTGCTCACAGAGGACTGGCTCAGGTGTTGTGTGCTTCTGTATTAACTGGAAAAGACAGACTCTGGAACTTTTACAGGGCGAGAAGAGGCCACCAGCTCGCGCTTTGTATACTTTGCACTTGAAATCGTTACATTCAACTGAATATTTGGCTCATTCAGATCCGAAGTCTCCTAGCATCGTCAAATTCCCTCCTCCGCCCCTCAGCTCGAAAGGAGGAAGGGGGGGCGGGTAGGAAAATGGTTAGTAAATTGCACGTCTTTGAATCTTCCTAAAGCAGTGGTCACAAAGCTTAAAGGTGACACAACAGTGCTCACGTAAAACCAACACACGTTCCCCACCCCCCACCCCAAGTCAACAATAAAACCATCCCCTTCAATTTGCCATGATCATCGCGACCAGGAGCCAGGTGATTATCCTAATTAATGTCTATCTAATTAAATTACTGTCAGCAGTTAACCAATGGCAGGAGCCGTTTCATCGGCTGCACAAGCAGCAAGATCAAAAGTGAGCGAGCCTTTTCTGATTGCTGCATAGTGTCAATTGGCCAATCTCTTCTCCCAGGAGAAAAAAAAAAAAAAAGTAAATCAAACCTTTGGGAAGCATTCGCTGGATGAAGTGCTTTCTGCCTAGTGAGGGGGTCTGTGGATTTCTAGTTTATGATAAATAGGACTTTAAAAATCAGGGACAGGAGGGCGAGTGTTCAGGTTCTAGAGCGATGCAGCTGGAGCACTGCCTCTCTCCTTCTATCATGCTCTCCAAGAAATTTCTCAATGTGAGCAGCAGCTACCCACATTCAGGCGGATCTGAGCTTGTCTTGCACGATCATCCCATTATCTCGACGACTGACAACCTGGAGAGAAGTTCACCTTTGAAAAAAATTACCAGGGGGATGACGAATCAGTCAGATACAGACAATTTTCCTGACTCCAAGGACTCACCAGGGGACGTCCAGAGAAGTAAACTCTCTCCTGTCTTGGAGGGGGTCTCTGAGCTTCGTCACAGTTTCGATGGCTCTGCTGCAGATCGCTACCTCCTCTCTCAGTCTAGCCAGCCACAGTCTGCGGCCACTGCTCCCAGTGCCATGTTCCCGTACCCCGGCCAGCACGGACCCGCGCACCCCGCCTTCTCCATTGGCAGCCCCAGCCGCTACATGGCCCACCACCCAGTCATCACCAACGGAGCCTACAACAGCCTCCTGTCCAACTCCTCACCGCAGGGCTACCCCGCGGCCGGCTACCCCTACCCACAGCAGTACGGCCACTCCTACCAAGGAGCCCCGTTCTACCAGTTCTCCTCCACGCAGCCCGGGCTCGTGCCCGGCAAAGCGCAGGTGTACCTGTGCAACAGGCCCCTTTGGCTGAAATTTCACCGGCACCAAACGGAGATGATCATCACCAAACAGGGAAGGTAAATGCTACGTCCTCGGCTGCCGCTACTCCTGGGGCGGCCCGGGGCAAGTTGTGACCGCCGCGGCTGCGAGGATTCGGGGATCGGGAGCCGAGTGGAAGGCGCTCTGGTGCTCCCTAGAGTTGGCTGGTTTTGGAGAAGGGGGACGTGGAAGGTAGAACCACTGCGGTGATGTTGGGGGTGTGTGTGGGGTCCCTCTCCAGAAAGGTGGTCGGAAGGCAGTCAGTGGGCAGAGAAAGGCGAAAGCGAGGTAGAGACCGGGCCAGCGGCCGCGAGTGGGGAGGGACGCCGGGGTGCACGACAGGTGGAAAGCGGGTCGCCAGCCTTGCTCTCCACCTAGGCGGCCGTACCTGCCGGCTCCCCCACGCCGGCGCACCGGCCGGACCCTCACCCCGGGCTTCGGCCGCGCTTCTGTCCCTTCCCCACCACCCCCTTTTTAACCCCTTTTCTAACCCCGCAAACATTCGCTACCGACGCTGAGCGAACAAGTTTTGCTTTGCTATCTGGCGCCGCGCTTCTTGCTTTTAATCTTTAACATTTATGTTTTCCTCCTTGCTTTCTTCCCCCCCCCCCCTTTAATTTAAATAGGCGCATGTTTCCTTTTTTAAGTTTTAACATTTCTGGTCTCGATCCCACGGCTCATTACAATATTTTTGTGGATGTGATTTTGGCGGATCCCAATCACTGGAGGTTTCAAGGAGGCAAATGGGTTCCTTGCGGCAAAGCGGACACCAATGTGCAAGGCAAGTCCTTCCAATTAACACGTTTTCCTGACACTTACTTAGGTGAGAATGATTAATTAAAGCCTTTGTGGACTGGCTCGGGCGACTTTTAAAACGATCGGCCAATGACTTCTAAAAGGAAACGAGGGGGGACAGGGGGACAGACGGAAGGGGGAGGATTATCCAAAAGCTATTTTAATAGGATGCCCAGTTAATCGGAAGAAAGCGCGGCCTAAAAAGCCCCCGCTAATGGGCCTCTACGTGGAATGGAATAAGGTGTGTGTGTGTGTGTGTGTGTGTGTGTGTGTGTGTGTGTCCTACGCATCGAGGAGTTGGGACTGGGCAGTGCCCGGGGCATATGTAAACAACATATTTCTTTCTCTAGGAAATCGGGTCTATATGCATCCGGATTCCCCCAACACGGGGGCTCACTGGATGCGCCAGGAAATCTCTTTTTGGAAAATTAAAACTTACAAACAACAAAGGAGCTTCAAACAACAACGGGCAGGTCAGTGGCTCAAGCGCTATTCTCTCTCTCTCTCTCTCTCTCTCTCTCTCTCTCTCTTTCTCATACACACACACACACACACACACACACACACACACACATTCGCCCCCTCAACATTCAGTTCATTAGTTAAATCAGCATGAAAAACTGGGTACATGTTTCTTTGCTTCATTAAAAAGACTTTTAAAATTATATTTTCACCCTCCAAAATGATATTAAATCATCTATAAAGTTGTTCTCCTCGCCTCCCTGCCCAGTTTCCGAGTTCATGACCTAACCAAGTACAAACACTTGATTGATATCGAGAAGGAAACCCCCAGGATCTGCAGATTTGAAAATCTTTGTTTCTCGCTCTGGAGGAAGGACTAGGAGAAGGGCCCCGAGGCTCGGGCGGTCGGGTGGGTTCTCCTCCGCGCTCGGCGGTCCCCGCTCCCAGAGGAGCGCGGCTGGTCCGCTCCGGCTCGCGGGTCACCAGCCGGCGAGACCCGAGGCCCTGTAGCCCCGGGCGGGCCCCTTGCGGCCTCCGCAGCCCCGCGCACACCGCCTTAACGCGCCGCCCGGCGCTTCCCTCTCTCTCGGCGGGACAGATGGTGGTTCTGCAGTCCCTGCACAAGTACCAGCCCCGCCTGCATGTGGTGGAAGTGAACGAGGACGGCACGGAGGACACCAGCCAGCCCGGCCGCGTGCAGACGTTCACTTTCCCAGAAACGCAGTTCATCGCGGTCACCGCCTACCAGAACACGGACGTAAGGAGTGCGGGCTGGGGGCTGGGCGCTGGGCGCGGGGCGGTGGCACCTCTTCCCCGGCACCAACATCAGCAACAGCTGGCTCTGCTGAGCCTGTTAGACGAAGGCGTGGGGGCCTGCTGCGCACCTCCCCTAGGTACCTGGCCGGTGGAATCTACGTCTCTGTTGCGGGTCATGCTGCGGGTCATGCGGGCCACCTTTGAGGTGCTCAGGAGTTCTAGGGCCCCTTTTCTTTGGAATATTTTATTTAGTTCTCAAACTAGAACAACTTTAGATATGCTTTTTTAAAAAAAGCTCTCTTTCCTTTGGAAAACAAGCAGATTTTACCCTGCATTTTATTCTTGGCAATCTGTGGCATTACCTAATATATATATATATTAAAGTCTCAGAACTGATGGCTGACTCAAACATCACTTTTGGGGGAGCAAAAGAACATACTAATTCATATATGTAAAACGACAATAAATTAAATTACTGTGGGCTATGGAATGAATTTTCTAGCTCTTGACCTCTTGAGCATTTGCAAGTTTGCAGAAACCAAAACTGATTTTAAGATGCAACTTGTCTGTTTGGTTGTGACTCAGAAGCAACCAACTTTTAAAAATATGGTGAAACGTTTAAAATAGGCAATTTTGGTTATTAATTCAAGTACCCCTTAGAGATTTTTGTCTGAGTAAGTGTATTCATTATGTGTAACAAGCATTTAAAAAAATGTGCATTTGAACCAATTTAGAGCACATAGGAGAGCTCATTGAAAGCAGTGCTTTAGTTTTGGGCATCATTAATTTAAAGATGTTCCTCATAACTTTCATGATAATCCCCCCCCCCTTTCCACCCATGCCCTCAACTTTTTGATGAAATCGTAGGCCTTAAGCCCCTATAAAAAGTGGCAGATGATATATCCTCAAACACCCAATCCTCCTGTATGGAAGGTGAGATCATATTAATCTTTTTTTTTTTTCTCTTTCCCAGATTACACAACTGAAGATAGACCACAACCCCTTTGCAAAAGGATTTCGGGATAATTATGACACGTAAGTAATTTTGCTCCTTTCTTCTCAAATAGTTGTGGAATTGGGCTTTAGGTCAAAGGTGGATTGTTCTGTGCAAGGTTTTTGGAAGCTAGAATGTGTGAAGACAAGGTTGTTTTCCAGGTTTCCCCTCTCCCTTTTGTCGACTCCCTTTCTCTCTGGCTTCGTTCTTCAGCAGTTTTGGTCAAAGATTTCCTCCACCTATTTTTAGCCTCCTTATAAATTACAGAGTTGTTGGGGGCCTCTGAGACCGGCTGGCTGGCAGGGGAAGCTGCCCTGGTTCCCGGGTGCGGGTGGAGTTGTATGTGGCGCTGCAGATGCTCAGCTCAGACTGTCTGTGTCTGAAACCTCTTGATTCTGTCTGAAAGTGCATGTGGCTCTGGCAGTTGTTACAGCCTCCTTGGCATATGTGACTTCTATTTACCCATTTTCAAGTTTTGTGTAATAGCGTTTCCTGTGCGAGTTTACTATGGACTGAATAAAAATGTGCACCCACCATAGGCAAATTCATGAGCAGAGCCACTCCAAAGTCATTTCAGGCTTTGAGAAGGATCTGGGTGCTGTTGCTGTGTGTTATTTATAAGCTTTGAGAGAAAAATATTTCCTCTTACATGTGTTTTAATGAAAAGTGTTGGTTCCCCTTTCTACAAGCCTCCCTTACCTATCTCCATTTCTTTTCTGCCAACATGCTGTCCTCTGGGCAACAGCAGGTGTATACAGTGCTTTCTGTGCATGTTCTAGCATTCTTGCTCAGAGACCTGGTATAGTGCCTAAGAGTTCAGATAGTGTTACACAGCAAAATCTGATCTAGATTGTGGGGATTCCCATACCTTTTCCTGACCATAAAAGGGAAGGGTACATACATTTGAATTTCACGGCTTGCATTAAGTGCCTGGGATAGAGCTACAAAATTGAAGATGTGTTTGACTAAAAATAGATTAAATTTATAGAGAAAGAGACAAGTGGCTGCTTCTATTCCATCTCCAGGTAGATACCAACCTTCTTTTCTGTTTTTTAAAAATAACAAATTGTGCATCCTTCAAAATTAGTTCAAAGGAAGCAAGCTTCACCTATGATTACCCAGAATAAAAACTTGGCTACTCTAGTCCTCCCAGTCTAAAAAGGTGGACCCGGCACAGTGGAAAGTGTGTGGCCCAGGAGACCAGAGATATTCAAGTCTGTACTAGGGGGGTCTTGCAGATTTTGAGCTTTTAATTCTGTTGTGAACATCTGTTCCGAAGCATTTTATTTTGCACAAATCAATTCAGTAATCCCGAGTGGGTCGGGACCTGGATGGGCATCTAAACTGTGTCTTTTGCAGACTGTTTTTCTTTTAAAATATCGTGGTGGTAAACAGAAAAGACATTTGCACCTTGCTGGTTATGTTCCCTTTCTGACTCCTTCTACTTCTCTTATTTGAAACTGGACTGAAATTTCAGGAGGGAAATTCTGTGCAGTCAACAAAATGGACCTGAGCAGCTGCAGAGTAGGCTCACCTGCCCCTCCTCTGGCTGACTTCAGTCAGAAAAACCAGCTCCCTTTGACTGGTAAATCACTGTGTGTTTTTCATAAAAGGCTTCTTTACCTATACGAATGGACACTTTAGCTCTTTAGGGGTTCATGACATCTCCCTTTCCACGGTTCTGTCGGTTATTTGGGCATCGCCAACTCCCGGAGAAACAGGGAGAGCAGTAAGAGTTTAGGGGGACCAGCGGGATGCTTGGCCACTCACCAGGGAATCTCCTCCCCAAGGGCTTAAGGTCTGACAAAAATGAGGCTCTCTTTCAAAACAGTCTGCTGGTTAAATATTAAAACATTTAAGTGTGAGCTAAATAAAAAGAGAGGCATGTGTGTCTGTGTCTGAGAAAACACTTCTACCAATCTTGATCCAATCTCTGGTTCCCTCTCAATTCTAATGGGATTTTCTAGGCCCAGGGCCTAGAGTTAGTTTTTGATTATTTTATCTGAGGTGATTCCCAGTAACACAATTACTGTCTGGGCAGTTAGCTATAGGGCAAGTTATTCAACTTCCCCTGGCCTCAGTGTTTGCATCTGTAGAGTGGGGGTAATGGTGGTACCTAACTCCAAGGATTATTGTGATAGTTAAGTAAATCCCCATTTGTACAGTCCTAGACAACAGTGCCTGGCACATGGTCAAGATGCATAAGGGTTAGCCATTATTAGTGGGAGATTGCTTGGAGGAAGTGGACAACTGTCCTCTAAGAGTTTGCCCCAAAGTACTTAAAAAAACAAAACAAAACAAACCAATAAGGGAATCCAAAACTGGGCAGAGAAGGCCAGAGTAAAGAATACTTTTTCTTTGTAAAAGCATTTATTGATTGTTGACTTTGTTTCCAAGTCATTCTTGTTTGTACCGGTAGAGGTGGGGGCTAAAGGGTCACACACGAGAAACAAGACAGTCAGTACCCTGGACGCTTCCAAGCCACCCTCGGGTCTCAGGCGGCTGGTGGAGGCCAGATTTTAATGGTCGCTACTGGGACGGCCAGCAGGTGTGTCAATAGGAAGAAAGCGGTTTTAAAAGGGCGGAGGCGTGTGTCTCTTGGTTAGAAATTTGGTTCAGAAACTCTGTCCGCAGAGGAAAGGCCCACTGGGCAAATAACACCTTAGTCCCCGGGGTAACCTGCCGTAATGTGTGCACAGATTGGAGATGCGGGATGGGAGTCCGCTGCTGTGCTCCTCTCTTGGTCCCCTGTACACTTGGCGAGTGTGAGAGCCGGGGACAAGGAAAGCCTTCCTCTGGATCTGCATCAGTTGGGGGCAAATGGCTCCCTTTTTAATCCCACGATTTATTTGGGAGAGCCTACAGGTCTGTGACCTTTTGCCTCCATCCTGGACGGCCAGTTTCAGATGGAGCGTGCGGGGCTGGGCGAAACGTGGCGTCCTTTCCTTCCGTCCCCCGCAGGGACCTCCGCGCCACCCCGGGTTCTCTCTCTCTCCTTCCCTCGCAGGATCTACACGGGCTGCGACATGGACCGCCTGACCCCCTCGCCCAACGACTCCCCGCGCTCGCAGATCGTGCCCGGGGCGCGCTACGCCATGGCCGGCTCCTTCCTGCAGGACCAGTTCGTCAGCAACTACGCCAAGGCCCGCTTCCACCCGGGCGCGGGCGCGGGCCCCCCGGGCCGGGCACGGACCGCAGCGTGCCGCACACCAACGGGCTGCTGTCGCCCCAGCAGGCCGAGGACCCGGGCGCGCCGTCGCCGCAGCGCTGGTTCGTGACGCCGGCCAACAACCGGCTGGACTTCGCCGCCTCGGCCTACGACACGACACGGACTTCGCGGGCAACGCGACCACGCTGCTCTCG